TATTTATCATAATATCAGAAACATTTGGTCAGTTGACCACTTTTTGAAATCTTTCACAGGAAACTAGATATATGAGCTCAAAGTTGAACGTTTGGGTAGAACTTGAATTAGAGTGTTTACCCGATAATCCATATAGTTTTTAACATTTAGGAATTTTGCAACTTCTTGGTTTTTGAAATTGATATCCTTCAACTAATACAAATGTTTCACATGCTGCTGTTGAAAACAGCTGGACACTTGAGATTGTTCAAAGGTGCCGCACAATCTCCAAGTACGGGAATCTCTGTCCTCAAGGACAAGTTTTAGTTTCCGTTGACGATTCATAGAAATGGCAATTGATTCTGCTTTTGGTTCTTTCGTAATACCTTTTTTTAAATTTAATCCATCAATTCCAGAATTTACGACTTCTGTCATCTCCCCAATCGACTTCATCTACTCCGTTTTTCCAATTAATTCTCATTCTCCAAACTCTCGTAAATCTCTGATTCTTGAATTCTTCTTTCATCGAATTCCGCTTTTCAATTCCAGTTCAAATTTTGCGTTGTCCTTCTTCGTGTTCCGTTTTTCATGTTAACATACACATATAGAATTCTCTGTTTTTCTTCTTTTTCTTCTTCTTCTCCCGGGTGCATCTTCTCCGTCTCGAGACGCGCGGTCCCTAAGCTCCGCCCCCATTTTTGTGGCGGCTCACGCCACACTTCCTGTGGTCAAATGAGCCCCTCTATTGAGCGGATGCAACGGCACTTTCTTCTCTTTTTTATCTTTTTTTCAGTTCCCTAAAATCATTCCTCATACTATAATATTTCCAGATGCTGCCACGTCTTCTACTTGTGATATGGCTGTTCGAGGTGGCAAATGCCAATATGAGTTGCCTTGTGATGAGACCAGGTACGTGTGTATTTGTATTGTTGGGGGTGCACAAGCAAAGTTTTGGGAAGAGAGTGTGCAGTCAGTCACCGTTTATGCTCAAATTACAATTTACTCGCATCTCAAACAAACGGAGAAAAGAAGAAGAAGACGACGCGGATGAATAGCAATAAATCGCTGCAAACACCTTAGAATTGAATCCCGATGGAGGAAGTTATTTATGATAGTTTAGGGTCCGAGGGAGGAAACTAGAGATGTATGATCATGGGATAGTAGTTCCTAGAACCAGCAAAAGCGCAGTTCAATTCTAAGCTTCCGCATCGAGACCATGTTTGAAAAAATAGCGTTCGAGCGCATTTACATGACGTTCCGAAAAAATCGTCGTAGGAAAGTCTAGAATCAGCACAGCTGATTTTCCAACTGAGAACAATAACTAGAATAGCAACGTCTCCTGAGTTGATAAATCGTCAAATTGACAATAATGAACATAGGAATTCGAAGTTTCAAAAAAACATCTAATTGATGGTCTTTAGCTTTTCCGTTGTCCAATTTCTGTTTCCCATCAGTTCGCAAATACGAAACTGAGAATGTCTTCTTCTTCTTCTTCTCTTGCTATATGAGTAATACCATCCAATTGAATACTGTACACAAATTGTAATACTCTTACACACATAAAGAAATATATTTTTCTATCCAAATGTCAGACGCATTGCAACAGTGCTTCTTCATTCGGAACTCATCTCTCCCGAGTCCAAATCAAATTCTCAAACAAAAAGTGAAGAGTGCCGTCGAAATTGCATTTTCAAGTGTTTAGGAATCCCTCTTTTTTCGACTAGAACATGCAGATTCGCCTCTATTTTTTTCCAACAAAAAAAATAAAGCGGAAATGGGACAAAGGAAAAAGAAATGTTTCGAAATGCACTGATTGTCCTTCTCTAAAGTTCCCCTTTGAATCAAACAACGTATCGTTAGGCGTCAGTTGTACATATCTCCTCTTTTAAATTGGCTTTCGATCTGTCGGAATCCAAATCGAGTTTCTATTTCCGCCCTTCTCTATCCCTCCCTTTAGGGACCACTACCCCCCCCCCCCCCCCTTTTCTTTTCCTCGTTCATTTTCAAATCATAGAGTGTCAGAGTTTATAAAGAAGAGGACAAAAAATGGAGAAGAAGAAGATGGGGTGGGTCACCAACAGAAAGCGACACATGCTTTTTGTCAAAAACCATGAAAAAAAGAAGTCAAATAAAGGGCATGAATCAAAAAATATCGAATTTCAAAATGCTTAGAAAGCTCTGGAAATTAGGAGAAGAATACGCCAGACTTGCTAAGACTCGCAGCCCCAAAATTAGAAGAAATATTTACTGTGATATTGGGTGGAATGGAAAAAGGATAAATTGAAAATAAAAACTGGCAAAGAATTTTTCTGGAAAAGTTTTGGAATCGAGAAGTGTACCGGAATTCTCCGAATCAAAGTGACGAAGTACCAGAATTCAAAATATTCAATGGTTTGAAAGGGGGGTTCTGACCAAAATGCTTTGTAGTTTTTGCATTAACATATTCCCAAAATTATGTTTTCCATAACAACGAGATTTTTCTGTTCTCTTCATTGAGTTTTTCATCAAATAATCCAGATTTTTGTGAAAATACAGAAAAAAAACGACCAGAAACGGCGAAAAGTCGCATGAAAAAACAGCGCACACAGTGGCCGTGGAGTAGGATTCCCGCGGCCCTCTTGGAAGAGAAATGAGAGCGCTTGCAATTTCGACAGCGTTTTTCAGAGAATTCAAAATCTACTGAAATTTTTCGAAGTGATATTTCAAAAATACACGACGCTGGGAGCATTTTAATGCAAAAAGTACACAAATAATCCTCGGTCGGAATCCCCCTTTAGCCTGTCAGATAACCAAAAACGCAATCTCTAGAGAGGAATTTACAGATTTCGTAACTATTTTCACTACTAAGGCTAACTCTGGATTGTTGCCATAAGAAACCGGAAACATTGACATCTAAATTATCCTTCCCATCCTATCCTTCTTCTTCTTTTCTACCACTTGTATCCATTTCTTCCATCCCTTCTTGTTTCTTCTTCCAATCTCAACAAGTGCATTCATTTTCATTCTTTTGCAACCAGTTTGTACTATTGCAATTATCTCGTTTTGCTCTCATGAATGTTTTTGAAACAAGAGAGAAATTGAGAGAGAAAGAGAGAAAGAGTTTAAGCCTCTCTCTCCAGAATGCATAACAGTGATGCATTGGTGATGTCCTTTCGGGTCCTTTCGAATCGACTAACCAGAACATATGGGACCCCCAGACAACGGCTTTTATATAGCTACTGGAAGTGACACGTTATATGGAAATACACTTCTGAAGTGTTTTTTGCAATCTGTGGATTTCCTTCTATTTTTTTTTGGCTGACCATAGTCACTTCTGACAGACGGACCCCCGGGGAAATGGGTTCGTCGGAGCAAGAAGAAAGAGAAAAACGAAGAATTGTGATATGTGTTGATTTCATGATTTATGGACGGGTGAAAGGGAAGGCATAGAAGAAGAAAAATTGGTAAAAATCTATTTGAACGTGTGAAGAGCAAATCTTTCACTAGGAATATGGGTAAAGGGTCTATCGTAATTTTGATCATATAAGCCTCTTGAGGAGTTGAACTTGTGAAATATTGATGGTGAGAAAGCGCAGTTCGATTCTAAGCTTCCGCATCGAGACCATGTTTGAAAAAAAAAGAGAGTGGACACTGGATACTCGAGAAGGAGGAGAAGCGTCTGGAGAAATCGAGGAGGGACGTTCTAAAGAAGAAGCAACCGGAAATTTATATTTGTTTCCTTGCTTCTGCTTTTTTCTTCTCCTCTCTCTTCCCGATTCCGGCAAATGAAACATCAAAAAAGAAAAGGAACTATACGGTTCTCGTCGAGACTGACTGGAACTTGGTCGAAGCTGATGTATGGTTTGGCGACTGGATAATTAATGGATGGGAGAATTTCGAAATTGCTAGAAATGTGCTTAATACTCAAAAGAAGAAACAATCCGGCTGCTAGCTGGACGGTGGCCGTTGCGAAATGGTTTACCATTAGCGGTTACTTTTC